AAAGTCAAGCGGGACTCCCGTGACCCGTGCCATTTCGATATAATTGATTACGGACATAAGCTTGTCAAGAAGGCGTAGTGGCAAATAAGCATCTTTTAAGCAGTAAACAGCAAGACGATGCCTAGTTGCTGGTGTTCCATTCTTAATGAAATATTAGACAGGTAAAAACGAAATAAATGCTTCATTTTAAAAAACCGCTTCTTTATGCAAAAATAGAACCTGCAAGTCAGAGATGATAGAATAGTCTACGTCCTCCTTCTGCTCCCCCAAGAAATTATAACTGACACTATTCAAAGTGTAACTACGCAGCTTGTAATCACGTTGGACCACCTAAAAAACAATTTATCTAAACTTCCTCCCAAAAACACATTATATATGTCAAACAAATATTCAAGGCAATAACGACACAAACCTGGAAAACATCAAAAATAACCCGACCCTCCATGTTAGTAATTCTATTAGTTCTATTACCCATTTGTCTACTAGAGAGAGGCACATCACGAGTTCTCGACGGTAAAGCTTTCACTCTACATAAGGCGGAAACTTTACCTTCAATCTGGAAAGGCAATTACAAGACCCAAATGACTTCCAAAAATAATTTCGTGCGTTTACAGATCAATCGAAAAAAATCCAATTTATTGGAAGCAGCAACTCACTTTTAACTCTTTACCACGCTCCAAAATATAATTGAAATCAAAATTTTGTATATTGTAACCAGTAATTAAATCGGGATCAACAATTCGAACGAACTCTGCCCATTTCTAAAAAAAAAGATTTACAAATAACCAAGCAAAAAATCTTTCCCAATTAACTGGAGGAAAATTACCTCTAGCAGCTCTTCTTCAGTTCTACAAGAAATCACTTGAGTTCCTATTATTGGAGCAGTCTCTCCTAATGCAAAGCAATTTCTAATAAATGGCTCGTCAGTACCCTGAATTTTCACCATATTTGCAATCTGGATGACTGGATCACTATGTGGTTCCGGAAATATTCCTGGAAAATTTAAGATGATGTCCATATCCCTCAAGAGAATATGACTAGTAAAGAACCTTTTCGTCCGACACACTCTATATCGAATGATAAGATTCGTAACGGAGCTATTTCTGACCATTCATGAGCATCGTCTGGAGCATGAGCAACAATATCTTTGTAAGATATAGAACACTGCAAAATAGTAATAAGTATATGCAGCCGAGACAACATTGCTAACAATGCAACAGAAAAACGAACTAGACAATATGAGAAAAATAAAGAACTATTAACCTCAAGCTGACAGCGTGATACTTTGGCTTTGTCTCCCACAACTGAGTATTCTTGCTTTGGCAAAACAATCCACCCACAACTTGTTATGTTAGCGTCAACCATGAAGCGAACTTCAAAGTCAATATTGGCTTCAAATGACTGGTAACATTCTATACTTCCACTTCCATAAAGATCAATTCCCATTTGAAAAATGCGACGACCTACAACTCAATTACCTCATTCCCAAAAAATAAACCTCATCATAATGAAAGGAACGTGCATCAGCAATCGAAGCTAGCGCCCTAAGGGCAAAAATAAACTGTCATCAAAGTAAAGAGTAAAAATTACTTGAACTGCATACGTTACCTGTGGGCAACAACCTGGGTGAACGAACGAAAACTTTAAGGAACTTTTTATTGGTATTCTCCTGATAACCGTATAATTCTGAGCCATACACAATTTCCAAATCAGTAACAAAGTTTTGAAGAGATTTCGACAGACCGGTCCCCGATACGCCTTGTTCCTTAAAAGCTAATTGTCTTCAAAACCTTTTGCCAAGAAAGCAAATTTTATTGATGAAAATTAACAGGTCATCAAATGCGCTTCTCCAAGTATTAAAGGTAAATTCACCCACCTTAAACAGTTCATTAATTAGACCTTTTGCTTTTTCTATATGCTCTGGCGCAAATTTGTCATCAATCTCCACATAAAAATAGGGAACAAATCCGTGGGCAAGAACGCAGACAGAATTGCCTTGTCGCGTAACACCAAAAAGTCTGACAACAACATTATCGCTGTCATCTGAAAGCAGTTCAGCGCTTATCCTTTTCTTTCAAAAAATTTTCGATTTTAAATGAAGGCACTTTTTTCACAACAAATCATGTACTTGCTTTCAATGCGTGGTGTACTGTTGATGACAGGAAAGCGGAAATCAAAATGAAATTTAAAATGAGAACAAGAGCTGGTAAAGATCGGAAAACATAACCATAAAGAAGAAAA